ATGTTTGGTTCTCTCATGAAATACAAGATTAGAGGATATATGTAGTGCAGCTTGATTGTCACAAATGAGAGTCATGGGTTTCTTCTGTTCACAAAGATGGAGCTCCCGAATCAACTGCTTTAACCAGATTAGCTCGCAGGTAACAACTCCCATTGCACGATACTCGGCCTCTGCACTAGATCGGGCAACAACAGTTTGTTTCTTACTTTTCCAAGAAATCAGGTTTCCTCCAAAGAAAACACAATAGCCTAAAGTAGAGCGCCTATCCGAGGGTGATCCTGCCCAATCGGCATCTGAATAACCACAAATTTCTGTATTTCCCTGATCTGAATATAATAAACATTTCCCTGGTGCTCCTTTGATGTAACGAAGGATCCTAACAGCAGCATCCCAATGAGAATCACACGGAGAATCAAGAAACTGACTAGCGACACTAACAGCAAAAGAAATGTCCGGCCTAGTCACAGTGAGATAATTGAGCTTCCCAATCAACCTTCGATAACGTCCAGGATCAGATAATGGTTCTCCTTGTCCGGGTAGTAATTTGATAGTAGGATCCATAGGTGTGTCAACTGGCTTACACGCCAACATACCAGTCTCTTCTAGGATATCCAAGGCATACTTCTTTTGACAGATAGAAATGCCCTGTCTAGATTGTGCTACCTCAATTCCCAAGAAGTAACGCAGCTTCCCGAGGTCCTTTGTCTGAAATTGACTGAATAAATACTGTTTTAACTGACAAATTCCAGCTTGATCACTCCCGGTGAGGATGATGTCATCAACATAGACTAACAAATAGATGCACTTATCAGGAGATATCATCCTATAAAACACAGAGTGGTCAACTTTACTGCGAATTAAGCCAAACTCCTGAACAACAGAACTGAAGCGACTGAACCATGCCCGAGGAGACTGCTTGAGACCATATAAGGATTTGCGAAGACGACACACCTTCCTAGACTCCCCCTGAGCAACAAAACCAGGTGGTTGCTCCATATAAACTTCCTCTTGTAAATCACCATGAAGAAAGGCATTTTTGATGTCAAGTTGAAGGAGTGGCCAGTGACGAATAGCAGCAAGAGCAAGAAATAGACGAACTGACGCCATCTTAGCGACCGGAGAGAATGTATCACTATAATCAAGGCCGAATATTTGAGTAAAACCCTTTGCAACTAGGCGGGCCTTGAGTCGATCAACATGTCCATCAGGTCCAACTTTCACAGTAAACACCCAGCGACAACCAACTGTAGACTTCTCTGGAGGAGCAGAAACAAGGTCCCAAGTGCCATTGGAATGAAGTGCAGTCATCTCATCAAGCATCGCTTGGCGCCACCCTGGATGGGAAAGTGCTTCACCTGTGGTCTTAGGAATAGAAATAGAAGAAAGACTAGAAACAAAGGTGAAATGAGGTGAAGAAAGACGGTCATAGCTCAAAAAAGTATAAAGAGGATAAGGGTTACGAGTAGCACGTGTACCTTTTCTTTGAGCAATGAGAAGAGTCTCTGGTGAAGAATCCGGAGAGGAAGAAGCAACAGCAGTGAGCGATGAGTCAGCAAGAATCGAGTCGACAGGAGGCACAGTTTTGCGACGCTGATAAGTGAGAAGTGGACGGTTCTCAGGTATAGAAGCAATATGTTGCTCATTTGGAATAGAAGCACCTGCAGCTGGCAAAGACAAGTCAAGAAAAGGGACAGGAAGAACATGATCAACCTGTGACAACTGAGATGGAATAGAATTAAAGGGTTGTTGATCAAGAAAAGTGACATCAGCGGAAACTAAGTAACGCTTAAGATCGGGAGAATAACAACGATAACCCTTTTGAAGACGAGAATAACCAAGAAAGATACACTGAAAGGCTTTGGATGTTAACTTATCCTTACCAGGAGTGAGATCATGAACAAAACAAGTACAACCAAAGACATGTGGAGTTAGAGGATAAAGAGGAACATCTGGAAGCAATAGGTTATGAGGAATGTCATTGTTGAGCACAGATGAGGGCATGCGATTGATGAGAAAACAAGAGATGAGTACAACATCTGCCCAGAAGTGAAGGGGAACCTGCATATGAAGAAGAATGGTACGTGCAGTTTCAATGAGATGTCTGTTTTTACGTTCAGCCACCCCATTTTGTTGTGGAGTGTGAGGACAAGTAGCTTGATGTAAAGTACCTTGTGTGGCCAAGAAATTAGAAAAATCAATAGAAACATATTCCTTAGCATTATCACTACGTAGAATACGAATAGAAACACCAAATTGAGTATGAATCTCAGTATAAAACTTTTTATAAATGGAAAATAACTCAGAACGATTTTTCATTAAATAGACCCAAGTGCAACGGGAAAAATCATCAATGAAGGTAACGAAATACCGAAAACCTAAAACAGACAAGGTACGACTTGGACCCCAGATATCTGAATGAACAAGAGAGAAAGGGGCATCAGCTCGTTTATTGACTCGACTGGCAAAAGAGGAACGTGTATGCTTCCCTTGTTGACATGACACACAATCTAAAGACTGAAGACCGGATAAAAGAGGAACCATTTTCTGCAACTTTGAAAGACTTGGATGACCGAGGCGACTGTGGATAAGTTGTGGAGATTCTGTGAGAGAGAGTGCCACTGAAGGACGAGGGATATCCAGATAGTAAAGCCCCCGTGACTCACGACCCACTCCAATCATTTCCCCCGTACCGGATCCTGCACAGAAACAGAATGGTTAGAGAAAGTAATGGTGCAAGTGAGGGAGTGGATCAACTTACTAATAGAAATTAAGTTATAAGGGATGCCAGGAATGTAATAAACAGATGTCAAGGCCAAGGTAGAGGTCGGACGAGCTTGTCCAATCCCACGAACTGGGGCTTTGGTTCCATCCGCAAGGGTAAAAGAAGGTAAATGATCAGAATAAGTAAGAGATATAAAGAATTCCTTGTTACCATAGAGATGATCGGTAGCACCTGAGTCAAATATCCAAGTGCCAAGTGATGTAGAATGAGAAACACAAGCAACGGGATTACCAGTATATGGTTGAGACTGAGGAGAAGCCTTATTGAGAAGAGTTTGGAGTGCAGCATAGTCCGCAAGTGAGAGAGAAACTGAACCAAATGATGCATTGTCTGACTGAGCTATATTCGCAGAAAGAGAGGCAGAATCCTTCAGTTTGGAAGATGTAATGGGCCCAATATTAGTAGAGATGATTCCTGAGGAAGTTTTGACAGGAGGACAAGGAGAGTTAACCTCTGAGAGATCAGTGGACGCTGCTGCCATTTAAAAACATAATATAAAAGTCGTAAACGAAGGCAAACGATATCCAATCAAGGAGAACCACGCGTCTAAAGTGAGACCCACAAAGAACCAAGCACAGATCCGGAAAGAGGAGAAGAAGGCGAGAAGTTCTGTCCAAGAACGGCCGGAAAAAGCCACCGGAATAGTGCTCACGCGCCGGCAGAAGGTGGCGCGTGAAGCCCACGCGCAGAGAAGACAGGAGGTGCGTGAGAGCGCGTGACAACTCCGATGGTGGCCGGACTTCCACAGAGCAGGTCGCCGAGAGGAGAGGGTGCTCTTCGCGTTCGTTCCAGACTGAAATCTCGCTGGAAAAGTACTCCGGCAGCCTGAACAGTGGCTGACGGTGGCTCCGGTGACTGTTTGGGGATGTGGACACGTGCAGGAGAGGACTTACAGTCCTTGATGGCTTACCGGAAGGACGCACAACAAAGAAAAGATGACTCCTAAGCAATGGGCTTAGGTTTTAAAGCGAAGAACAAGATTTCTAAGCAGAAGCGAGGGTTCCTAGAACGAAATAGCTCTGGTACCAACTTGAGATTAAAGAATAGTTGTATATTGAATAATCACATGGTGTTTTACAATGTACAAGAGCTCTCTATTTAAAGAGACTAAAAGACCTAATAGGTTGAGCTCATACGATGTGGGACTATATATATACTGAACTAATTTTACAACTATTCTAACAGGTATAAAGTGACTTGGCCTGACGCCAAACAGACTCACAAGTGACGTGAGCACGAAAAATCTACTTCAAGGACGAGTGGATGGTAGACTTGATGATGCTACATAACTGAGCATCAACCTTTTTCCAATGAGGGCGTACATCTACCGAGATGGACTCAGCCTTAGTAATGAGATGGTCAGTGTAGTCCTGTCCATCAAGCCAAAGTCGGAGATCAGAAGCCCAAGAATCATAATTGGAGCCATCCAACTTGTCGACGTGCAGCGAAACATTAACATAATTAGAAAAAACAGGCGGGTCAGCCTTTTGAGAACCCTTGGATGCATCGTGGGGTGACAAATCAGCCATGGGTTACCTGAAACAAAAATGAACAGCAACGAAAAGCAAAGAAACGTCTGTGAATAGTGACCAGCAAGGGAAAAGACACCGTAGAAGCCGAAACGAAGTCGAAACAACAAAGTGAGGACAGATCCAAGTGCGCAAGGAGAAGACGAAGGGAACCGTGGTGGTCCGACGGCCAACCGGAGTGGGACGCGTCGCCACGCGCCGCTGCAACAAAACGGGTTGCAGCCGCTGTTTGACGCGCGTGAGAGCGCGTGTAGGAGGATCTGAGGATGGGTCCTGGACAGAAAGGAGCGCCTTCTCGCGGCGATCAGAGCGATATGGGTTTCACCGGAAAAGTCGCCAGAGACGGCGGTGGACAGTGGTGCCTAATGGCGGTAGTGATCAGACAGGTCCGTAGACGATATATGGAAGCTAGAAACTTACAGATATGACTGTTTCCGGAAAAAAAAAAATATTTTACTCAGCAGACAGTGGTCCACCGGAAAAAAAACGCGGATTAGGATTCCTTTTGTTAGGCTCTAGATACCATGTTAATTACCAAGAGACAAGAGGTATTCATTGTAATCCTTGTTATATTAAACTACACAACATTGGTGCTATTATATAGCAAATCAATTGAAGAATACAAAGAGACACACTCAATGTGGGACTTCTATACTATGTACAGCAACAAAAGCAATAGGTCACAACGGCTGTGTAGTTAAGACCTATATGCATACTTCATTTACATTGAGACTTTTGACGTGATTTTGAAGAGTATTGAAATTTACTGACTTGTTGCTTCTCCTGCCACAAATAATGCCTTGAATGGACAAATTATATCCAATTTGATACATCAATACCAGACATTTAATGAAGGCTAGGTGAGTTGTGATGTTGAAACATGATTAAATTGGAATTCTATACAAAATTCTTGTCCAAAATAATCTGAAACTTTGCAATCTTTTTTTTCTCTTTTTAGTTTATTCTTTGCCAAGAAAGATAAAGGGAAAAATACAAAAAAACAAAAAGACTTCTTCCTTAAAACCACTTGACTGTATTGCTTCAGAAGTTTCGGTTGAGCATAATCTTCATAAACAAGTCAACTTTCTTTTCATTAACATATCATTTAAGCCAAGTACTTTTCCACCTTCTCCACTTCCTCTGTGCTCCCAATGTACAGTGGAACACGCTGATGAATCTGTCCATAAAAGGAAAAAATAAAATAAAAATGAATAAGACTATCCATCATAATATTCATCATCAACACTTAAAGCTTTTAGAGGCATATGAAATCCATTCATACTTACTTCCTCAGGTTGAATATCAAGTATTCTCTGATAACCATCTGAACCTTTTCCACCAGCTTGTTCTACAATGAAGCTCATTGGAGCACACTCATAGAGGAGCCTGAGCTTGCCATTTTTGCTTTTCTTGTCTCTAGGATATCCATAAATGCCACCATATAGCAGTGTCCTGTGGAAGTCTCCTACTAAGCTTCCAATGTACCTAGCAGAATATGGCTTGCCACTAGGACCTGGGTCTTTGAGACTATCAATGTATTTCTTTAATTGGTCATCCCAAAGCTGATAATTTCCTTCATTGAAAGAATAAATTTTCCCTGATTTAGGTATCTGGAGGTTTTCCTGAGTCAAAACAAATTCCCCATACATTGGATCCAATGTAAATACAAATACTCCTTTTCCAAGTGTGATAACAAAGATTACTGAGCTAGAATACATGCAGTAACCAGATGCAAGAAGGTTGCTTCCCGGTTGGCACACATTCACAATGCACCTTTGTTCTGTTGTGTCAAGCTGCAAATTAACATATGCATTAGATTTAGTGATTAAACCCATCAACAATCCATTTTCTTAGTTGTTTTTTTTCTTTTTTTCCTTTTTCTTCCTTTTTGATGATAAGAAGTTTAGGGGAAAGTGAAGTTGCTTGTTCCAAGGTCAAGGTAATGTGCTACAATTTCAATGAGGGTTATGGTCCACTAGTCAGAATTGAAAAATATTTATGCTGACACTGTTCGATCTTACTAGCTTTCTTTGTTGCTTCTAATTACATTATTTTAGCATTTTAAGATTTATACCACTTGATTCAAGCCACTTTATTTTAAGCTGATTAGTCACATTTATATAAAGATAATCAATCATGTGAAAACCAAAATCTAGAATATTTTTTTCAGTTTTCTTTCAGTCAAAGCTAATTATCTTTACCTTTGAAAATTTAATCATAAGTTTCAATCAAGGCCCTAAATTTTATTTGAGTCATCTTCAATTCTCGATTAAATGAAATGATATAAGAAATGGAAGACGTACTGTGGGGTCATCACCAATGTCAGCAAGACACTCATCGTTGGGGCTATAGACCCCAAAAATGGACCCAGTTGACACTGCAGCATCAATATTGGATGACCCATCAAGTGGATCAAATACTACAATGTAGTTGCCAGAGTAACTCTCTTCCACTGCAACTGGCACATCCTCTTCCTCTGATGCTATTATTCCTGTCCTCCCACTTGACCTCAAGCAGTTTGAGAAAACCTGATAAATGCAAAACAATACCTTGGTTAGTGAGGGTAACCTAAATAAGACTTCACATTTAAGAACCTATAAATTTGGTTACAAATGTTGACAAACATTCCCTTGTAGTCTATTCCTTTAGGATACATGTTTTTGCAATTTTAACATAGGCAAAATCAAAATTTCCCACTAAAATAGAAGCAGATATAACACTAGCAAAAAAAAGAAAGAAAGTTATCTTGTAGCACTGACCTCATTTGAGACAACATCAAGCTTTTTCTGGTCTTCCCCTTGAACATTTACAGCTCCTTGAACTCCTGTGAGGTTGGAAATGTTAGCTCTTTGTACCAAAGAAGCAATCTGTTTGCATGCCATGGAAATACTAGACAGTACAATAGTGAGCTCAGCATCAATAACTCCTGCTTGTTCTTGCTTCAGCAACCAGCTAGTTAGAGTTTGAAGCTCATATCCACTTTTTTTCTTTGTCTCTGTAACTTTTTCCCCCACAGCCATGCATCTAACTCCAGAGCCACCCACATGCTTTCTCCTGCTACTTGAACTTGATGGCACTGATTTGGTGTCAAAGACACATAGTTGGAAGGGGCAGAGACGAGAGGAAGAACAAGGTTTTGAGAAAATCAACTGGGATGATGCTGTTGCTGCTGCCATTGCAACCATGGTTATTGCCAACTTTTATTTTTGTTGTTGTTGATTTTTGCACTATGTTGCTTGTGGTGACTACATGGACTGTTTTCAAAGGCACCGAAGGAAAGAGATTTTGTAAGGTCAGTAATGAATTGTTATACTAATGGTCCCACTTATCTTCTTCATATCATTTTCCTTTTTGTGATTGTAATTACTTGAGGATTCCAATGATTGTGACACGAGGGATTCTTACAAATTTGTTGCTGAAATGAGTACATAGACTGAACAATTCCAAAACAAATAAATGTGGTGGGTTTTGGAGCTTGAGGTTGAAGCCTACATAGGGTCAGAGTTCTAAAGGACTTATAATCTCCATATTAGTATCAGAGTCTCGCCGTCTCCCACTTTTTCTTGTGGAGTTTTTTAGCACAGGTAGGCTGCGTCTGTTGCATTGTCCACTTTTTCAAGCCCAATGGGCTCTTGTGTGAGGGAGCGTGTTGAGATATATAGTCCCACATTGGTTGTATGAGCAACTAAAGTAGAGTTTATAAGGTCTTGGGCATTCTCACCTTTTGAGCTAACTTTTGGGGTAGTGTATTCCAAAGTTCTTTAGAGTTACTATGTTACTTTCAATTTTTTTTAGTGAATGAATTGTTAAATATTTATTTGTTTATAATATAATAATTAATCTGTGAAGTCCATTAACTATAATTAATAATCAGTAAATATTTGAAATAGAAGAAGATGAATATGAGTGTAATTTCCCTCTGGGTGATACATGTCAATGTTTCTTTGCGGATATCCTGCAAACATGTTTCATATTCAATGAGAAATTAAGAGTTTTTTTTGGTAAGCTTAAGAGTATTGTTATAATGGACTTGATTTCATGTGTAACAAGTTTATAGATTGAAATTTGTAATATGCCCAACTTTATTATTTTGGGAGTTATGATAATTACAATTGTTAACATTCTTATGTCCTTCATGCACTGGAGAGCCCTTGGTAACATTATACAACTCACTGGAAATGTTCCAACGTTTGCAACATGGGCTGGCTCGTTTTAGGCCTTATAACTGCGGGAACTGGAATCTCATGATTCTCGCTCCACAAAATTTGGCCCTTGTTTCCATGCGAATAAAATCTCAGGCTTATACCTTTCAAACACTATTCTGTTTTAATATCATAATAAGGGAAATCGTTTTCAGCAAGCTGCAAGGAGAAATTATTGTAGCAACTTATTATAACTATGTATCACGAGTAATATTAATATACAGTTATAATGATAAAATTAATTTTTCTCTTTTCGTTATGTCAGCCGACAAAGTCTGAGAAGAAAAAAAGAAAAAAAACTTTATTATTATAATTATACTACCGTAGTATATAATTATAATAAGGGGAGGGTTATATTGACAAATTTTTTTTCTTACAAACTTGCAAACTATATTATGTCTGATTAGTCATACATTTTTAATTGAAGTTTCACCGGTCACACATAATATAGTTTGTAAACAAAAAGTTTGTAAATATAATATTCTCCTTATAATAAAATACTGCAAGAATTTTTCTTTACGGAAACATTAGAAAAAAAACCCCTCGTAATAATACCCATAATTTGTTTTGTTAATGAAAATAAGCAAAATCCAGACAACAATAGAGAAAAAAAAAAAAGAATAATATTTGTGCAGTTGCAGATAAGTTATCTGCATTTACTCCCAAAGTAACGTCGTTTTGGGATTGAAAAATTAAATAATTATAATTATAAGGACTATAATAATCCTGAAATAAATTAAAATTACAAAAATACCATGATTTTCGCCCCAAAACAACGTCGTATCAGGCTTACTGCAGATAACTTATCTACAGCAGTAACTGCAGACAAAACTAACCCGAAAAAAAAATTAGATAAAGAAGAAAGTAATTAATCAATATTAAATAAAGGAATATTTATGATTCAATGGTGAGTTACCCAAAACAAAACAAAACCTTAATTAGATGCAGGTTTTCCATCAAATCTCAGTTAAATACAATTTTGTTATAATTAAATCCCGCCCGGTCAAATAAAATAAGAAATAGTTCTATAATTGTTTATAGACATCTGGTTTTCAATAATATTCATAACACTCGCAGTTTGCTATCCATTAAGTAAATCTAACTAAAAAATAACTTAATGTGAAAAAGCTTAGTGAAAGAATATTCTTTCATCTTGATAATTCAATTAAGTTCTACGAATTGTGACATAGGCAATGGGCTTCAGCAAGAAATTTTTTGACAATATATTCAATGCGTTTTTTTATTTTTTATTTTTAAGAAAGATTCATATATATATGATTTTTATAGATTTTTTACGAAACTAATTATCAGAATATTTTTTTAAATTTTAGTACTAAAGAAGTTTTTCAAATTTATCATAAATTTAGTTCTTTTTAAAAATTCTAATTTTTTAAAAAAAAAATAGAATCAAGATTTCTAAATTAATTTATATGCATAGTTGCATTCTTTTTTTTTTATACGTTACCAAAAAAAGGAATAATAAAAAATAAATTTGATTTTGATTGATGTTCAATCATTTTGGTTCTATATTATAGGAATCAAAAAGTTTTTTTTTTCAAATTCAAATTAATCGTTGTTGTCTGGGATTCATGGGAATAAAAAGAGTAGCCCGGCCAGTACCTAGCCGGGCTCTAGCTGTAAAAAAAAGAAAAGAAAAAAGTAAGATATAAAGAATAGTTTTTTTTTAGTGGGGAAAGATGACTGAGTGGACTAAAGCGTCGAATCGCTAATCGAATCAAAATTTCTAAATTAATTCTAAAAAAACTAACTTTTCAAAATAAAATAAAATAAAATAAAACCTTTCAAATTAAAAACCGCATTCTAAAAATCGGTTTAAGTTTAATCTATTTAGATTAAGAAGAAAACTTTATACCTTCCTTCCTTCATTTTTAAACTTTAAAATAATGTAATCTAAGATATAATCGGGATTCATCTCATCCACTCATCACATGAAATCTAAGATTTTATCTTACATATTCGATATTCATGATTTCATGACAATATTGTCGCATTCACTTCTTTACAATTTATCACATATTAAATCCTACAACAAATTTTTAGAGACTTGACAAATATTAAATAATACGGTCTCACTTGTTTGTTATTATCAAAATTAAAAAATGTGTGTGACTCAACTCTTATTGTATATATCTCTGAACTCTTGATCAAAAGTGTCATGCATCTTTAATTAGTATTATTTTGCCTCCATAACAATATTATAATTTTCTTCCTTTCCTTATCTACATTTTTTTTTCTTTTGAACTGGTTGATCAACCATGCTTCTTGCATGTTGTTAACTTAAGTGATGGAGCATTTATAGCTAATATAGAAAATGTATCTGACAATTCATTTGCTTTCCTTTGCAAGTGGATTATTTTTTGTGTTCTCTTGAATACAAGGTAACACACTTGCAATTAGGAGTATCTTTTAGGCTGGGCTAGATCTTGATATTTTATTAAAGTAAGGACAAATTACCCAAACCTCTTTCAGAATTTTTGAGTACAATTACATATAACGCCCTCATGAAATGTATAGGGATATGAGAATAAATTATTTCATGTTAAAATTTTGCATGAAAAAATTATGTAAAATTTTTGTATTTATTTATTTTTTCATTAATGATAATTAGATTTCATTTATTTAACACATGTGAAAAGAGATATAAATACAAAATTTTATATAAACCGATCAAATAAAATTTTAGGGAAAAATAAATCTTATGTTATAGGAGAATTTTCAGGCTTTTTGACCCTTTTGCCCCTCATTAATTAATTAATAACCAGTTTGCCCCTGATCAAGAACTATCCACCAACCTGCCCCCTTTTAGTCGACTACCTTGCTGTTTTAGTCGAGCAAATGGTCAATCTTCAGAAAGTGGACTTCCGCAAATTTAGTCGACTAAAAAATCATCTTAATCGACTACATTTTTGGGATATTTAGTCGACTAAGTATCGATATTTAGTCGACTAAATGTCGACTGAAACCCTATATTTTCCATGTTTTCGGTCTCATTTCGATTGTTGTTGTTGTGTAAACCTAAATAGCTCCCTTTGTTCATGTGTAATCCTCTCAATCCGATTGTATTTCATCCCACCATCTCTACAGACCTAATATTGTGAAATCATTGTCATTGCCCAATTCCAAACCCCAAAATCCGAACCCAAACCCCCAATTTCAGAACCCAAGTCCCAATTTCGTGAGGAAGATGAGCACAAGTCCAAACATGTATGTGACAATGATCTACTATGATGGAAAGCATTATGAAGGCCCCAATGGTGTTCAATTTGAAGGAAAAACGAAAATGTTGAAAATCAAACGGGGCACTACATACAATGAGTTAAAGGAGAGAATTCAGCAAAAATTGGGTTTGCAAGGCAGCCAATGTGTTCAACGGATGATTGCCAGGGTAGAGACAACAGTTGGTAAGGATGCTATTTACTACATTGGTAACGATATATGTGATGATGAAGATGTCGAATGTGTCATAGATGCTATTGTTGACCGAAAATTTGAAAATTTTATTGAGATATATGTTGAATTAGATTGTGGTCAATCTTCATCTGCACCCATGCATACAAGAAGTGAACCGTATTTTGGTCATGAAGAAAGAGTAGTCGATTTATCTGCACCTGCACATGTCATAAGTCAGATAACACTGCGGGAAATAAATGAGGATGAACAGGATGCCGATATGGACAGCGATGAGGACGGTGAACCTGAGAGTGTTATTCCACTAGGTGACACGTCAGATACTGACGTAGAGGGTGATTTCGACGCTGACACAAGCTCACCATCCCCGGGTTCGCAGGTTACGAGACCACTTCGTGTTGACCCTGTTAGCAGTGGTAAGATTTGTTTTTTAAAGATTTAATTTAGCAATTATTTTTTTTTTGTTATGAATGGTATTGACGGTGGCATTATAATGCATCCGTAGGTTCTGAGGTCGAGCCATTTTGGAATGAAAGCTCACATTATACCTTCATTAATTGGGCCCACCCTAATGATGAGACAGAGATATTGTATGGTGACGATGATGATCACGGTGGCTGGCAATTAGGGGATCC